GCTCCGCGCCCGCCGTGCACGGGGCGGCGATGCCCTCTCGTGGCCCCCGCGCCGCCAGCACCGGCCTCCCTGCCCGGCCTTCGGGATCCCGCAGCCGTTCCCGGGGCTCCCACAGGGAAGGGCTCCCTCCCGCAGCGTCACCCTTCTGCTAGGAGCGGGGCTAAAACATGAGGCAACGGGGAAAGCTGCAGCGAGGGAAATCTGTGCATCAGAATCAAGGGCATTGCTGCTGCTGGGGAGTTTGCAGGAAGGCATAAACCTCCCCTCTCCTCCCAGGGCTCCAAGAGCTCCCTAGCAGGACATCATTCAGCCCCTGGGGACATCCCCTGGCCAGGGCCAGCGCTGCTCCTTGCTGCATGGGGCTGCCCTGCACTTGCAGTCGGAATGGGGCTTTTCTGGGTTTTCCAAGGTCCCCAAGCGGGAACTGCCCAAAGACACAGGATTTGCTGCAGGGTGTGAGGGGAAGAAGGGACCCGGAGGCGCCCTCCTCCCTGGCACTGCCTGTAGCTCCCAAGACACTGATATCCAGGGCTGAAGAACCATCCAGAGCAAAGGCACAAGAGGCAGAGCAAGAACCACCTCTCCCCGCTAGCACATCCCACTGCCAAGAGCATCCTTCCTCCTTCCACCTGTGCCTGACGGGAAATTCCTGCCGGGAGCTGCATTCCCCAAACAGATCCACCTCCAAAGGCAGATCCAAAGGCACACAGGACCCACTGGAGCATAAGGAGCCCATCAGGACCCTGGGGGACTTGGGCTCCAAGCGGGGAGCAGGAGCCAGCCCACGGCTTTCCTTTGTCTTCCTTTAGCAACTGCCTCTTCTAACTTGTTTCCAAGGTTGCCTCCACCAGCTGGGAATAAACAGGCATTATAAAGGCATTATAAATAGCAGCAGCTATTTATACTGCTTCTCTGGCCGGGATGCTGTGAGAGGTACCTCCAAATACGCAAAATCTGTGCCCAGCTCCCTGCTCTTGGCTACAAAAAGGCGAGAGGGCTGCAGACAGGGAACAGAGGACACGAGATGGAGGGAGAAGCTCCTCATTCCCAACATCTGGGGTGCGAACACCTGGATTTGGTGAACAGCTCTGCAGCCGGCACAGCGGTGTTTTTGCTAGGGTTGCGGAAAGCCCCTGCAACAAGTGCAGTGATCTGCAAGGACACACACTGAGCATAGCAAAGCCAGGGAGCAGCGCTCAGAGTCCTTGCATATCCCAAGGTGGGACAAGGAAAACAGCCTTCCAGTGAGGAATCCCACTGTGGAAACCCTGCGAGCTCCAGAGTCTAATTTTAACCTGGATAACACGTGTACAGAATGGTTATTTAAGGACACAAACAGAAATCAATCTCCTCTGCCAGCTGCAAAGCAGAGCAGAGCAACAACCATCAGTAAGTTGTCCTCAGCACGGAGGCATCGTGGATGTGATGAGGAAATGAGAAGAAATCCCTTCCTTAAATGCCGAGAGTCTCAAAGGAGGAGAAGAAAAGGAAGATGCCATCTCACTTCATGGCTATTAGCTTGTCGGAGACAAGAGCTGTACTAACATGGAACAAGAACAAATATCTCTGGCCAGGAAAGCCCTGCAGTCCCTGCACGTCTGTGTCCCAGCAGCAAGGTGAAGCTACCTCCAATTCCAAGGAATCCAGATGTCCTGGGAGCACAAGCCACAAAGTTTGTCATCATTTCCACTTTACTGTTAACATAATTCGGCCAGCTCACCCGCAGTCCTCTTCATAACATCCTTCTTGGCACGCTGGAGAAATGTTTTACGCAAAGGATCTCAGGAGCAGGAAGGGGAGCTCATCCCTTAAATCCCACTGAATCATCTCACCTTTGAAATCTTCCCCTAAAAGTCCCTGTAATGACATGGAAAGGCTGGACAGCCCCGCCACAGCAGAGCTGTGACCAAGTGACTAAGGGCCGAAGACTCCCCAGCGTTTCTGCCTTAACAACTAAATACACAAAAACGGACTTAAAACCACAACCTTCAGGAAAGAGGAATACCAAAATGAACACGAAGCTGCCTTTTATTTATTTATTTATATAAATAAAAGGTAGTTTTGATCTTTGGAGGCCCACTAGGAGGGCAACCCGGAGGCCTGCAGTTGCCCATGGAAATGCCAGGACACACAGTGGTGCTGGGGAGCGATCCCGAGGGGGAAAATCCAACAGCAACCGCCAGAGCACAGCGAACAGGAGCACTATCCTTCTAAATCCAAGCCCTGAAAAATATTAAGGCCCTTCAGACTGTTGTGAGCCAGACCTCGCTCACACCGTTAACATTCAGTAAGAGATGTGAGATGTTTCCATTACCTGAGGCGTTTCCTTCCCTTCCTGTGGCCAGAGTTAAACTCTGCACAATTGCTCAAATTAGAGGAGAGCTAACGAAGCCCTGGGGTTTCAACCCAAGCCCATTCACGCCTGAGCTGGAGCTGTTAACTCTCTTCTCCGCCCTCCAGGCAACACTGCAGCTGAACAACATGGGAATGTTCTGCAGAGCTCGCTGGAACATTCCCATGTCGTTCAGCTGGAAGCAGGAGCTGAGAGGAACCGGGATTTTGAGCCAAGTTCCCTTTACAAAAAGAACGGAGCAGCATTTATCCCCGTCGAGTAAATAACTAAAGCAGCTCGATTCATACCACTGCCTTTTGGAGCGCTGACGTGCTATTTTCGGAATCAAGTTATGGGACACTGAGCCTCCCCAGGAGTGAGAATCCGCTTACCTTAAATGTAGTTCAGATCCCTGCACAGTGCAAGACTTCAGGCTGTGCCCCAGAAACACTAAATACATTTTTTTCCCCTCTCAGGCAGAGTTTCTGCTAAGAACATAGCACCAGAGTAGCAGGATATCTAGGCTGGAGGCTCAGCAATACTCACTGTAGAGCCAGGTGACATTTTGCTGCTTCAGTTCCAGGGTAATAAATGCAAGATCAAATACTGAAACTTTTCAAGCTGACTTTAATCTTGTTTTTCTCCTGAGAAACACAAGTGTTTCATTCCCTTTAACTCATTAATGCTGTTCATATATTAACTATGGTAAGACCTTTTGAGAAAAAAAAAAAAAAGAAACGCTCTTCAACAAAACTGCACCATAACTTACAATCACAACAAAAGCATTTGAAGACCAATAAAAGCAAACTTTCAAGTTAACCAGACATTTATTAGCATCTATTTAGGTGGAGGTTGTTCCAGTACATAAGCAACGAGGTCACACGCAGGTGATGGAATCATTTCATATTCAAGCAGAGCAGGTTCCACTGAGTTGCTTCATTTTTTCCACTCGTTCTTCTCAAAATCCCACTGGGAAGAGATGCCCTCAACAGGATTCATCCGCATGTCCAACATTCTCTTCGTCTGCGCCGCCAACCACTCGTCGGAGAAGGTGTGCGGGATAGGGCCATACACTGCAATTCAAGAGCAGGTGGAATTACACCGGGATTTAAGACGAACAAGCTGGGAACAGATGTACAAGTTCTGCTAACTAAAGACAAACATTTTGCTAAGGGAAGCAATTAGTGTCGATCACACACACGTCAGCACCTGCTCCAACTCAAGCTCCCTAAATCCGATTCCGAGGTGCTGAGCTTGGACCAGCTGGACTCCTCTGTTGAGGCTCCAACAGTTCCCTTAATCAGTAAAAACAGGTACAAAGACAACAGCTTCTCCCAACCTTCACCGTGAGCAGGTGGGGACTCAAGATGGAGAGCAGCTCGTTTAACAGCACGTGCTGCCTCACGGCAACTGCAGGGCTCGCTCCAGGTAGGATCTTTTCCTGGGCAGGAAGCCAGACGTGGCAAAGCCCCAGACTTTTACTACCAGGAAGGCAATGAGCTTTCGTGACACCAGATTTCACAGAGGGGAAGCTCTGGGATCATGAGAATATCGCTATTTTTTTCACCTCCTTTTCCTCTCTTCCCCCAAAACTCTGTCCACTGACATCACATTTCTACAGTCAACTTCCTGATTATTTAAGCTACGCATCTGCTTATATCCATTAAGGCACAATTGCAGAATTGAGTTTTAGGAGCACAGCAAAGAGCAATTGCCAAGTTGTCACCCATACAGCTGTTCTAGGCAAAACTCAGGCTTCCCAAACAGCTTGCAGAGGATTTTCAGGTTTTGCATTCAATATTAACTGATACCCCTCTGAAACTAAAGAGCTGTCACTATATGTTATTTACTTACTATACATTTTCTGCCAAACAAGGAAGAGCCCAGTTAAGCCAAGAAAAAAGAACACTCCACCAAGGACGGTCTTCCACTCATTTGAGCCTCTGTTCATTTCTGCATAGCTCTCATTGAACTTGATACGATACACTGCGTGGGAGGGAAAGCAAAACATTAAACCATGTATTTCTTTTTTTTTCTGCAATATGCAGGCAACAAGATACTCTCCAGAGGGAGATGACCAAAGCCTAAGGCAGTCTGAAAAGGAAGGAGGCAAAAATAACTCTCGATTCAGCCAGCCTCTCCCATGCCAGTAGCAAGACACCTGTGCCAAAGCAAACAAGTTGTGTTTCACCAACCCCTTCTGAGTAAAGTCAGCGTTAGTGTCTACTTTATACAGCAAATATGACTTTGAAGTTGGCTAAAGCCACATACTAGGCCTGGCAGAAAGAGAAATAGAGTTTTCCTTCCTTCCCCACAACTCCCAGTACAGCTATTTGCCATAAATCTCACTTATATGAATCATTTCAACCAGAATGCTTTTATCTAAAAAGGCTGCTGTCAGCTCTGCCAGTAAGGGCCACATCTCCACATCACATTTGGAGAGGGCTCGTGGACATCCAAGGACTTCCAGAGAGGCAGAGCCTGACCCCTCTTTGATGCAGGGGGACATGACACCGCTCAGAGATGCCACCCAACGTGGGACCTCTCGTGCTGCACGATGACAGCCAGAAATGATGATGCAGTTTCATTTGCAAGCCACGACACCTGCTTTTTTTAAGAAGAAATTGCTGAACTCGACCAATTACTAGACAAATCCGTTATGTCAAGTCTGCCCCGTGATGTAGGGCACATAACAGATAAAAGGCAGGTGTGTCTGAGATTCTGAAATGGCGCCAAGAATCCCAGCTATGGAAGACAACTCCGCTCTCCATTTGAGCAAACACAAGGAGCTGCATCA